CATTTCTGGCCTAGACCCTTCATCGGTCTAGGCCCGAAACGTCAGCCTTCCTGCTCCTATGATGCTGCTTGGCCTGCTGTGTTCATCCAGCTCTACACCTTGTTATCTCAGATTTTCCAGCATCTGCAGTTCCTACTATCACTGCACACTTGGGGTGGGTTTTACAGAACTGGGCCAAGTGAAAGTATAAATAGAACAAGAGAGCAGGCCTTTCACATAATAAGTGAGGAGGACGGCTTGCATAGAAAAGGTGTATAAATAATGGTTCAGAAACTTGGGAGAAAGTAGAATAACACTAAAGTAAAACAAGAACTGCAAATGCTCTAAATCTGAAATAGAAATTGCTGGCGAAACTCAACAGGTTGGGCAGAATCTGTGGAGAGAAAGCAGAGTGAACGTTTCAAGCCCAATGAATTCTGAAGTAGAGTAACAGCCAGGCTGTGCTTCAGGTACAACAGCTAAAAAGTAAAAGTAAAAGATATAAGGTCAGGAAAAGGAATTAAGAAACATCCAAGAGTTTAGCTGAAGGATAGATTGGGGTATGCAAATCGAATAACCATGGCATCTAAAGAACAAACACAATAAACTGCAACTGGAAATTCAACTTGGATGCCAAGACATGACTGCATTAGTCATGCATAGCTGCGAGCTGGTCACAGCAGGAACCAAGTACACCAGGGTGAAATGGGGCATTTTCAAGTTAGCTAGCTGAAACAACAGTGTCACAGGGTTCAGTGCTGTGCCCTCAATTATTTATAATTCATATCAATTGCAATCAAAATAAATATCGATATAAAAGTAAGTTGTCAAGATGACATAAGGAGTCTGCAAAGCGATATAGATAGGTAAGTGAAGAGGTAAAAGTTTGACAGATAATGTAGGAAAATGTGAACTTATCCACTTTGGCAGAAAGAATAGGAAAACAGCGCGTTATTTAAATTGAGCGATATTGCAGATCACTGCAGTACGTACAAATCTGAGTGTCCCCGTATATGAATCATGAAGAGTTGGTTTGCGGATTCAGTATGTGATTAGAAAGGTCAATAGAATGTTGGTGTTTACTGTAAGGTAAATGGAATACAAAAGTTGAGAAATGTTGCTGCAGCTGTACAGAGCCTTGGGAAGACAGCACCAAGAACACTGTGCACAGTTTTTGTCTTTTATCTAAGGAAGGTATCACAAGCATAAAATTATACTACAGCTTTAGTAATAACTGTAGTCTCCTTTTAACAGTGGGCAGAAAGAAGCTTTTAACATTGGCTTCTCTTGTGGCATAAACCACAATTGGAACCAGATGGTACGTATCTCAAAAAACCTTCCAACACATTTCCACAGGGGTAAACAGAAAAACATTGACAATGGTTTCCCTGGAGGTGGGAATACTTCTTTTCGAACTCACTGAACACCAAAATAATGGGAGCCAGTCGTATTAATAGCTGAAAGAATTAAATAGTTAATTATATTGGCTGAAATCAATAGGTGGGTATGCTTCAGACCTGGGCAAACCCAATGTCTAGTATAGAAGCATGATTCAACATTTTGGGATAGCAACTCATTTTGAGTTTTGAACTGAAATCTGGTTGGGGCGCCATTCAGAGCAGAGGTATCAGGAAGACAGTACCAATCAATGCTCTCCACTGAACCAACTGTGAACTGTATGCAGGAGTTGCATTTTCTCTCTGATACCAAGGAAAGCTGTCAAAAAAATCCTCCCTGTCCCATTGCAAAGGAAAGCAGCAGTTTCCAACTACAGTGGGAACATCACAACCTGCAAGTTGCCCTCCCATTCACTCACCACCCTGACTTGGAAATATGTCACTGTTTCTTCACTGTCTCTTGGTCAAAATCCTGGAATTCCCTCCTTAACAGCATTGTGGGTGAACCCACAGCACATGGACTGCAATAGTTCAAGAAGACAGCTTACCACTACTTTCTTGAAGGCAACTAGGGGGGGCAGGCAATAAATGCTGGCTGAGCCAGCGATGCCACGTCCCACAGGTGAATGAAAAAGAAACAATGTCAACAAGACAGGAAGGGGAAGGGGTCTTCACTCACTCCCTGAAGCTGCTCTGCCTACTGAGTGCATCTACAAACTCCAGCTCTTTGACTACAGAAGCCATCACAGTTTGCAGTTGAAGTGTTAGTTGCCTAGAGTGAAGGGTTAAAGTCGAAGAGTTGTGCTTCACACTTGTCTTCCAAACTTGACTCAATTCATGAATTAAAGATTTGTCTGATATTGGTTGGGCCTGTCCTGATTGGAATTTCGAAGAATGAGAGATGAACTTATTGAAACAAATATGATTTGAAAGTGTGAATGCTAAGAGGATGGTTTCCCCCAGTGGGGGAGTTTAGAAGTAAGAGACAGATCTTAGAAAGTAGTTGTCTCTCATCATTCTTTCTCAGAGGATTATTAGAATACTGAGTTCTCTTCACCAGAGAGTAGTGGAGGCTGAAACATTGAATATATTCAAGGATGAGTTAGACAGATCTGTGACTGATCAATGAGTCAAGGGGTATGCGGGATACACAGGGGAGTGGAGTTGAGGCCACATTCAGATCAGTTATGATCTCACTGAATGGGAGAGCAGGTTTTAGGGGATGAATAGCCTACCCCTGCTCTGAATTCTTGTCTTCTTCTGATTGAAACTGGTGACATATATCCTGAATGGACTGCCCAGAAAATCCATGAAATCAATTTATTTTGTATCTGTTATTTAACTTGTAATTTGTAACATATATTGTCCCAAACTTGTCTGGTGATTTATGTTTAATTTATGTTGATTTTGTATTAAAAGTGCAATCATGTCCATTGCCTTTCTTATTGGTGCAGTTCAATAAATTTGACCCTTTTGGTTTATTCTTGTTCTTGTCCTTGGGTTCACTACAAAGTAATGAAGCAGGAGTGGGAATGCTGAATTTTGTACCTTTCTCCACTAGGGCCTGATAATTGATAACTCAGAACATGAAAGGAAGTGGCCCTGGAAATATTGAATGCATTGGTGGTCATCTTCAAAAATTCTATAGACTCTGGAGCAGTTCTTACAGATAGGAGGGTGGCAAATGCAATAACACTATTTAATAGAGTAAGGAGGGAAAAAAAAACAGATGATTACAGACCAGTCCGTCAAACATTAGTTGTGGGGAAGACGCTAGAGTCTATTATATGTGATAAAAGGACATTTGGAAACCACCAACTGGGCTGGACAGAGCCTGCAAAGGTTTATGAAAGACAAATCATGCTTAACTAATCTACTGGAACATTTTGAGGATACTATTAGTAGAATAGGAAAGGGAGAACCAGCAGGTGTGATGTTAGATTTTTCAGAAGGCTTTTGGTAAGATCCCTCATAAGAGATTAATGAGCAGATGTTAAGCACATGGGATAGGGGGTAATTGGGGATATAAGCATTGATTTGAGAATTGCTTGACAGACAGGAAGCAGAGTGGAAATAAAAGGTGGCAGAAAGTGACTAGTGGAGTTCAGCAAGTATCAATGCCAAGGCCCAGCTGTTCACAATATATATAAATGACCTGGAACAGGGTACTAAATGTAATATTGCCAAGTTTGCCGATGACACAAAGTGGATACAAAAGAGGCTTCAAGGTGGTTTAGACAAATTGAGTGAGTGGGCAAATGTGGCACATGTCATACAACATGGTTAAATGTGAAGTTATACACTTTGGTATGAAAAAGAGAAAGGCAGAGCATTATTTAAGTGGTGATCTACTGAGAAATGCGGGTGTACAAAGGGAACTGGGTGTCCTTGTATGCCAGCAAATGAAAGTAGGCATGCAGGTGCAGCAAGCAGTTAGGAAAGCAAATGGTATATTGGCTGTTATTGCAAAAGGATTTCAGTTCAGAAGTAGGGACGTCTTCCTGCATTTATACAGGGCATTGCTGAGTCTGCACCAGGATTATTGCATGCAGTTTTGGTCTCCCAATCTAAGAGAGGATATACTTGCCATAGAGAGAGTGCAGTGGGGGTTCACTTGGCTGTTACCAGTGTAGCAGGACTGTTCTATGAGGAGTGGTTAGTTCAGATGGCTCTATATTCACCAGCGTTTAGAGAATTAGAGGGGGTCTGATGAAAACATATTATAAAATTCTAACAGGGCTGGACAGACTAGATGCAGGGTAGATGTTTCCCTGTTTGGGGAGTCAGGAACCAGGGGTCATAGTCTAGAATACGGAGTAGACCATTTAGGACTGAGATGAGAAAAGGTCTCTTCATTCAAAGGGTAATAAACCTGTGGAGTTCTCTACCACAGAGGGCTGTGGGGGTGAAGTCATTGAATACATTCAAGAAAGAGATACATACATTTTAGATTTTAAAAGCATCATAGGTAATAGGGAGAAAGTGAAGATATGGCTGTGAGATAGAGGATCAGCCATAATCATATAGAATGGTGGAGCAGACTCTAAGGGTCGAATGGTCTACTCCTGCTTCTGGTTTCTATGTTTCCGTAATCTGCAAATCACTCCTGGACCAATAGCCTATTTGAAATCTGCGATTGATAGATTTTTGTTAACCAATGGTATTGCAAAGGAATCGGGGTAAAGAGTAACTATACGGTGAACTCACTGATCAGCAATGCTCTAGATGAATGGCTGAAAGCCTCCTGAATGGCCTCCTTCTGTTCCTACGAGTGTGGAGTTGAATGCTGAGGATTAAGGAGTTTGGAGAATGGGAGATGTGTCTCTTTTGAATCCTGGAGCTGAGAATGGGGAGACCAGTTCTGATATTTTACAGCTGGGCCAATGTAATACATTACCTCATGTTTGTTCAGGAAACCCCAGACTCCAGCTGTGATCTCAGCTACAAAAATCACCAGCAGACACATGAAGAACTGGAGAGAAAAAGTCAACATTGTTAACAACGAACAACTCTGCAGCACCCTGTACTCTAACCCCAGCTACTCAATAACACTGAGCTGAAACGTAAACTAACATTTCCCCTGAAACCCATGAAGAATCCATGACACAAAGCCCTGGACACCAGACTCCAGAAGCACACTAAACATCCACCTAGATTCAGGATGGACTCTGATCCCCGACAGGCTCTGAGCCCTGACCCCAGGCAAACTTTGACCCAGACACAAATCAATCATTGACCTAGAAGCACATTGAGCACAGATCTACAATGCACCTCAGCTGCACAATCAACTGTGATCCCACTTGTAGAATCACCCACGACACCAGAACCCAGTCTAAGCCGTGACCCCAACAAACAATGACCAACTCCAAACTCACATTGTCCAAAGATTGTAATTCAGTCTAGACTATGAACCTGAGACAGTCAACAAATCCTATCCCTATTGCACACCGACTTCTGACCCCAGACACACTCTAACCCCAGACTGCAGAAGCCCAAAATAAAGCCAAAGATGTAAGGGTAGTGGAGGCAGAAACTCCCATAACATTTAAGAAGTATTTAGATGGGCACTTGCAATGCCATAACATACAAGGCTTTGAGCTACACAGACCTTTATGACTTGATTACCCATAATCACAAATTCACATTTAATACAATCCCCGACACCAGAAATAAAACAAATCCTAAACTCAGACACGTGCAAGTCACTTACCTCATCACAGACACCAAAGACACGCTGATCCCTGACCCAGGCAAATATTAGCACCTAATCTTTGTCACAGATAACCCCTGACACTAGTTAGGCATCGACATGTGACCTCAGACACAGGTCAGCCTTGACTCATGATGTACAATCCACCCGATCCCAGTCACACACTAAACCCTACCCCAACACACAACGACTGAAACCACTGATTGCAAACCCCCAACCCCGTTAGAGAGTGACACATGACCGCATCCATAAAACCAACATGGAACCCAGATATACACAGAGCCCTGATTCTGTATGCCAGCTAACCCCTAACCCTATGTCACCAACCACTGAATAAGGCACATACTGAATCTAACAACAAATGGAAATTAACTTGACCCCAGCATCGCACCAACAGTGACCCCAACCACAGGTACAGATTAAACACTGGCCTCTGAACCTAGTCATACTTACAGCTCCAAGTAAACACTGAGATTCGTGCACCACGCCACAACACCCAAGAAACCCCACCAGCATCATCAGGGCCCCAGTGGCAATCAGTATGTAGACTCCTGAAAAATGAGTGAACAGAATGAGTGAGTAGTAAGTACAGCGAGAGTGGGAGCAAAGGCTGGGTTGGCAGGGAGGGAAAGAGGAAGGAAGTTAAAGACGACAGGCCCAGGAGGATGATAGTCAAAGGGAAGTAAGATAGAGATGAATGAGAGAAAGGATTGGGGAAGGAGAGAAATCGAGGGTCCAAGCAGAACAGAGTGAGGAAAGAGAGGGACATAGAAAAGAGAGTGAGGAGGGGAATGAAAAGAGAACTACAGCAAGAGAGTTACAGAAAGATATGCAGTGAGACAGGAAGAGACGGGAGGAGGAAAAGAGAAAGGACCAGGATGGGAGAGAGAAAAGGAGAGAGAGGAGAGAGGGAATGTGTGAGGTGGGATGGAGGGCCAGGCTGGGGGGAAGTGTGTGAAAGAGAGGGAGGAGGGGAGAGGGGCAGTGTGGAAAGGGGTGGATGGCGGTGCTGGGTGGAGGTGTGAGAGAGGGGCAGTATGGAAAGGGGTGGAGGGCGTGGCTGGAAACCATTCCATGTTCAGGATTTAATGGCTTCTGCTCATAAACATAAAACAACTATGTCAGAGGTCACAGTGTGGAGCTGGAGGAACACAGCAGGCCAGGCAGCATCAGAGGAGCATGAAAGCTGACGTTTCGGGTCAGGACCCTTCTTCAGAAATGGGGGAGGGGAAAGGGGGCTCTGAAATAAATAGAGAGAGGAGGGGTGGGGCTGGGGAAGGTAGGTGTAATGGTGATAGGTGATTGCAGGCAGGGGGTAGTGGGGATTGGTCATTGAGGTGGGAGAAGCAGACAGGTGGGAGAGAAGACAGACAGGTCAAGGAAGCAGGGATGAGAGGGAGGGTTAGTCATGGGATGAGGCCAGGGGTGGGGAGATTTTGAAGCTAATAAAGTCCACATTGAGACCATTGGGTTGTCGGCTCCAAGGCGGAATAATGAGGTGCTGCTCCTCCAGTTTCCGGGTGGCGTCGTTGTGACACTGAAGGAGACCCAGGATGGACATGTCATCCAAGGAGTGGGAGGGGGAATTGAAATGGTTCGCGACTGGAAGGTGTTGTCATTTGTCGTACGCTTTGTAGAGCACCTGCACTTGGTTTGCAACAAATGACAACACCAATTTTATTTAAGGCAAAGTCGCATTATTATTTAAGTGATTTCTGCTGTAAATAAAAGATTCATATACCCCCTGCATTAGATGTCTATTACTTAATGTGTGTTTTTACTTTGAATATATGGACCTCTTGATCAACCAGAATATTCAATTAACTCCTGGTCCTATAGGTACCAGTTGATAAAAGGTTTATGTACCTCCAGCTCAATGGGTTCCAATCTCTTAGGTAGTGAAGATCCTGATTTAACACATTATGATAATTCAAACATTTTACATCCACTGCTTCCCCTATATCTATTCTGCTTATTACCTCCTCAAAGAACTGTAATCAACTTTTCAAGCTTGATTTACCCTTCATGAAGCCATGCTGACTCTGCTTGATTATATCATGCATTTCTAAATGCTGTGGTATAATATCCTTTAGAACAGACTCTAACATTTTCCCAATGACAGATATTAAACTAATTGGCCTGCAGTCACCAGTTGCTTGCTTCCGTTTTCAAACAAATGCAATACACTGGCTGTTTTTCAATAATCTAGGATTTTTCCGGATTCTAAGGATTCCTAGAAAATTACTACCAGTGCATCCACTATGTGCTGTAACTATTTCCTCTAATATCCTAGGGCACAACCCATCAGTTCTAGGGACCTATTGGCCTTTAGGCCCATTAATTTTCCTGGTATTTTTTCTCCAGTGATAGTTATTGTATTTATTCGCCTACCCCACCACTGTCCCCACCCTCACCATTTTGCCCCTTGATTATTTATCTTTATTAGAATTCTATTTCTCTACCATGAAGATTAGTGCAAAATATTTACTCAGCTCCTCTGCCATTTCCTGGTATCCCCATTGTTTCTCCAAACCCATTTTTTGAATGGGCCTATTTTCACTTTGACCTTTCTTTTCCTTTTCACATATGTAAAGAAGCCTTTACTGCCCATTTTTATACTACTTTCTAGTTTGCGCTTATAGTTTAATTTTCTCCCTCCTCCTTTTGGTCACCTTTTGTTGGTTTTTAAAACTTTCCCAATCCTCTCGTTTACCACTAATCTTTGCTGCGTTGTATGTTTTTTTTCCTTCCAAATTGATGGGAGCCAAAACTTATTTTGTTAACCATGATCTGTTTATTCCCTTCCTCGAATCCATCTTCCTCACTGGCGTATGTCTTTCCACAGAGTCATAAGCTGCTTTCTTAAACATCTGTCATGTTTCCTCTTTACCTCTAAACCCCTTTCCCAATCCACTCCAGCCAGCTCTGCCCTCATTTCTATATAATTACCCTTATGATGAGGAGGTGCCAGTGTTGGACTGGAGTGGACAAAGTCAGAGGTCACACGACACCAGGTTTATTTGATGAAGGAACAACACTCCGAAAGTTTGTGATTTCAAATAAACCTGGTGTCATGTGACTTCTGACCTTATTTAAGATTAGCCTAGTTTTTTTTCAACCCAGACCTCTGCCTCTGAAACTGAATGCTATAATCTATCATGTTATGGTCACTGTTCCCTATAGGATCTTTTACTCTGAGATCACTTATTAAAACTACTTCATTACACATCACCTGATTCAAATCAGCCTGGTCATTGTTTTTTCCCTAAAAAATAGGAGGCCATAGATTAAAAGGCACGTGCAAGGGTGATGTGTTAAAAAAAATCAGAAATACAGAAACAAAGAAAATAGAAGGAGTAGGTCATTCACCCTTTCAAGCCTACTCTGTCATTCATTATGATCATGGCTGATCAGGTAACTCAATAGCCTGTTCCTCCTTTTCTCCTGCACCCTTGATCTCTCTAGGCCCAAGTGCTATATCCAGGGGGCTAACTCTCCACTGGCTGGATTCATACCTGACACATAGGAAGATGTTTGTTTTTGATAGAGGTCAGTCATCTCAGCTCCAGGACATCTCTGCAGGAGTTCCTCAGGCTAGTGTCCTAGGGTGCAACCATATTTAGCTGCTTCATCAATAATCTTCACTTCATCTTAAGGTCTGAAATGGGGATATTCATCAACTATTGCTCGATGTACAGCAGCATTCATGACTCCTCAGATACTGAAGGAGTCCATGTTCAAATGCAACAAGATCTGGATAATACCTAGGCTTGGGCTGATAAATGGCAAGTAACATTCATGCTACACAAATGCCAGGCTATGACCATCATCAATAAAAGACAATCTAACTAACCCCCTTGACATTCAATGGTGTTACCATCACTGAATCCCCCACTATCAACATCCTGGGGGTTACCATTGACCAGAAACTCAACTGGACTCACCACATAAACACAGCAGCTATAAGAGTAGGTCAGAGTCTAAGAATACCGTGGTGAGTAACTCACCTCCTGACTTCCCAAAGCCTGTCCACTATCGACAAGACATAAATCAGGAGTGTGATGGAGTACTCCCCACTTGCCTGGATGAGTGCAGCTCCAAAAACACTCAAGCAGTTTGATACCATCCAGGACAAAGCAACCCACTTGATTGGCACCACATCCACAAACGTTCACGCCCTTCACCACAGACATTCAGTAGCAGCAGTGTGTACTATCTATAAGATGCACTGCAGAAATTCACCAAAGATCCTCATACAACACCTTCCAACCCCACAACCACTTCCATCTAGAAGGACAAGGGCAGCAGATACATGGGAACGCCACCACCTTGAAGCTCCCCTCCAAGCCACTCACCATCCTGACGGAAATATATCACCATTCTTTCACTGTCGCTGGGTCAAAATCCTGGAAATCCCTCCCTAACAGCATTGTGGGTCAACCCACAGCAAGTGGACTGCAGTGGTTAAAGACGACACCTCACCACCACTTTCTCAAGGGCAACTAGCGATGGGCAATAAATGCTGGCCAGCCAGTGACACCTACATCCCACAAATCAATAAAAAATGACCACAAACACCACCAGGTCTACATTTTTTGTTATTCAGAGGTGCTCTTAAACACAACCGAACAAATTTGTGTTACCATCATCAAATCACTGAGACATTTTTTGTTCATTTGTTAACCATCAATAGATCACTCATGTAGCCAACTGGATATTTACATACAAAGCCCATTAAGGCCAACGTTAATCATCAAAAGGTGAGAGGGAGACAGGGAGATGGGAAAGGGCTGAGTCTGCATTTTTTTGGTATAAATTTAAACCTATTTTCTAATCAACCTGGTCAGAAATATTATTACACACCTCTGGAGCAGGTAGGACTTGAACGGGGTCCTCCTGCCTCAAAGATAGGGACACCATCATTGCACCAGAGCAGCCCGCTCTGCATCTGCATCTGCTTTTTCTTTTTATTGTACCTATTTTTTCTAATCAACCTGTTTAGAGATGTTATTACACAGGTTTGGAGCTGGTGGGACTTGAACCTGGGACTATCAGTCCAGGAGTAGGGTCACTACCACTACATACTGGACGGCACCCCCAAGACTGCTTTATAAAGGGCTCAGGTGATGAGTTCCTGTTGGACAGGCCATTGCCTGTTAACCAGGGAATTCATACTCAAAAAGCTCCACAGAGCGATTAATTCATGATTGACGATGGGCCTAGGAGGGGTTACCGTAGTTTATTAACCTTGTTGTGTCATTAAATATTTGTTGGAAATCCATTTTTGTTGGAATACCATGTCCACAGATAGCCCTTCAAATGTCCTACCAGCTACATCCCCAAAAAAAGAATAAATTTATCGAACATGGTTTCCCTTCAAAAACCATGTTAACTTTGTCTAATCAGACTATGTTTTCAGAGGGCTTCATAATAAATTCCAGCACTTTCCCAGTGACAGTGTCTCGTGATTACTGTCAGTCTCTGTGCTGACTGGGAATAACTGTGACCAGTCTCTGTTGGATGTTACAATGGACTGTAATAGTTTCTTCAC